AATAAAGAAAAATAGAGCTTTGCTAAGAGAAGCTCCTTTTGCCTGTGGGCGGAAATAAGAAATGACCAAAATTGTGAACATCTGTAGCTTCATTGGGTAGGAAAAGGCAAATTCTACACATCACACTAAAGTTAGGGCAAAGTCGTGTCAGATAACTTTTGGTAGGTCGGCTATGTGGCAGGTGATAGCATTAGAGCCTAAGGGAAAACTGAGGAGATCTCCTACCTACAAACCCACAGCCTGACTTAGAAGCTGTGACCTGATTATAAAAAAGAGAAAGGAAGGAAGGGAGGGAGGGAGGAATAAGGAAAGAAAGCAAACTCCTTTGGGGCTGCCTCCTGGAGGCAGGGGCTATTTTAGCAGTGTCTCCCCAGGAAGGTTTTGGACTAAGGGAGGTTGCGAATGGCAGGCTCCAGGACAAGCAGCGCCACCAGGCTTTGGGACTAAGGCTGCTTCTTTGCTCACCCAAATTTACAGGCTTGAGTCCACATTCAATTGTTATAATTAAATGAGCTCTTTCCAGCTTTGGTTTCCAGCACACACAATTGTCTCAAATCAAATAGACGTGAAGCTTGTTAAAGTTTTAAGGGATTTGGTTTTGAAAGGAAGACTCCAGGGGCCAGCCCCATGGCCTAGTGGTTAAAGTTCTGCATGCTTCACTTCGATGGTCCAGTTCATGCATTCGGCTACCAGAAGTGGACATATTCCACTCATTAGCCATGCTGTGGCAGTGACCCACATACAAAATTGAGGAAGATTGGCACAGATGTTAGCTCAGGGCAAATCTTCCTCAAACAAAAAAAGAGGAAGATTGGTAATGGATGTCAGCTCAGGGTGAATCTTCCTCACCAAAAAAAAAAGGAAAGAAAGAAAAAGAGACTTCAATTCTGGCAAATAAATACCTGTGATTGTGATTATTCACCTCCCCAAGGGCTGCTCACACACTGGAATTTGCACCAAGAGGACGAGACTGGTTGGGGTAGGGTATTTCCTGATAGTCACCGTCTCCTTTCATTGCATCTCCCAGATGCAGTCATGAAGGATAATGCATAGGGAGAGTTTCTTAGAACACACTCAACCTGTCCAGCCAGGGAACTCCCTCCACGGCAGGTAAGAGAGACTCTGTTGCTCCTAACAAGCAGGACGTTGGAAGGTCCGTGGATGAGACACCAAGTGTGTTGTTTCTATTCTCCCATTTTCAAATAGAAGTTGTCATCACAGTTATCTTCTTGCTGTCACTGACAAGCAAATGTGTCCTAATTGTTCCATAAACTGAACTAAATAAGGAGTTTAATTCAGAAGGCCTTTGTGTGGTAATCAAATCTTTATATTATTCTTGAGGGAAATAACTGGGACATTTTTTGATGATGTAATGGGTGGTTTGATCACCGCACTATATTCTAGATCACTGTCCTGGCGCCAAAGACCATACAAGCATCAAATCTTTTTCATGTTCTTACATGGTGGCAGTTTTTATTCTGTCTGAGTTAAAGCCATTATTAAAGCAAGCTTCAAAATTTCCATTGATTATCTGTGCTTTCTAAAATGTAAAAAGGTGAAAATCTATAATTGTTTGTCATATTTTTTTCCAAGGAAGTATTACCCAATGTACGTTTTGAGGAGCAGTAGATATATGACCCGTTCCTTGAAAATGGGAGTCCCTCATCAAAGAAATTGAAATAACTTTGCATACACTTCTTTTTTCTGTGGAACATCACTGTACTAAATGATCCATTAAACCTTGCGAGAAGTCTTAACTTTTTAAAAAAATGGTCAAATTTTAATAAACTACAAATATGCTTTAAATTTTCAGTATAACTTCTTTGACCCTTGAGTTAAAGCGTTTTTTTTGATTTCCAAATTGTAGACCAGAGATTCAAGGGTATAGATGTATATATGAAATGAAAAAGAATATCATAATTCCATGTACTCATAAACGATCCTTATCCTTTTTTTTTCTTAGCTATTTTTTTTCTCCCCATATCCCCCCAGTACATAGTTGTATATTCCAGTTGTTGGTCCTTCTGGTTGTGGCATGTGGGACGCTGCCTCAGCAGGACTTGATGAGTGGTGCCATGTCCGCGCCCAGGATCCAAAGTGGCGAAACCCTGGGCCACAGAAGTGGAGCTCGCGAACTTAACCACTTGGCCATGGGGCCGGCCCCAAAAGATCCCCATTGTTAAAGAATATAGGGACTATAAGAAGACAAATACAATAAATAATGTCTAATTCAAAATAGAAAGTAATAATAAAACACTTTAAAAATTAAAATCTTCTACTTCAGAAAGTAGAAGTGATTATGAAAGTTGCAATTAAATGTATGAATTAATGTGATTTAATATAAATTCATCAATTAAAACTAATTGTTAATGTCAAGTAATGCGACCTTGCTTTAGACTTCTGAAATATATTTATGTGGAATATTTTCTTCAGAGTAAAAAGACTAATTTTATCTCAAAAATGTAAATATCAAGACATTTCTTACCTTTTAATATTTTATAGTGACTTAAAATGAAAGCTAATATTTAAAACAACTTGGATTGTCGTGGAAGGCTCCCAGACACATTTTGGCAATGAAATCATTCCTTTTCTATCTAAGCTATTGCAGCACAAAGAAAGGCATTTTAAAATAGGAATTTTGTGGCAGATATTTACTTTTGGAAAGTCTTAATTCTTGTAATCCTCAGATTTCACGTGTTTGGCATTAGTAAGGTGCAACAGAAGGAACCTTAACCACAGAAGCACTGATGGTTGTCACTATAAAGGCTGAAACGTAAAGATATTTGGCTTTAATAGCTTAAAGTGACCTTTTTAGAAGCTTATATTTTGTTTGGCAAACAAATAAACTGAGAGCGATCAAGTTGATCACTGGTTAATATAGGACTACAGGGGCCATGGTAGAAATTCATGCATACCCTACATCTAAGGCCCTAAGGGATTGACACTTTGTGCCAGACTCTGTGAAGTAATATCTGTATTAATATAATGAGCTAAGAGCTTCATATGAGTTATCATCTGGACACCTCTCATTGCTTTTCTATTCATAGCTAATGTATATGTCTGAAATTAATTAGCATTAAGACAACTTAAAATGTGAGCCTACACTGGAAAATACTTAGTAAAGTAAATTATATAATTTTGATTTTGCACTTCTAACACTAAATGAATATAAAGAACACTAGGAAAATAACAGTGAATGTTCCACATTGAAGAAATAAGAGATTTCGGGTACTAAGGGAAGTAAACGTCTATTTGGGTGACAAAGGCTATCTTAGCCCACAAATGTAAAGAATAGAAAACTTGTTGAACAAACATGGAGAGAAACACAAATATTTCAAGCTAGAGAGTCTCAGGATATAGAATAGAATACTATTGACTAATTGACTGGTCTGGGAAGTAGCACCAACTTTGCACACAGCAAGGAGCTGATGAAATCCTGATTTCATGAAATGGAGTACAAAAGGCATAAAGGTCTCCTACAAAGCCAGCTTGCTGAGATCAACTTGGTGGACTCTCGATTCCCTCGGGAGTGTTCCAAATCAATGAGATTCAGATTTGCCTCAAAACTTCCATTCCTTCTCTATGTAAAAAGCATTTTATCTCAGAATGGATTAAAAAAAATAATACAACTAGGATTGGTTTAAGAAATGCTCATTTTATTTCATTGGCTGTTTCCTATCAAATACATCACAGTCCTGATAGTCCCTGGCAATTGGAAGGGTCATGCCTCTCTCTGTAGGACTTAGGAATATAGAAAGAAAATTAGAAGATTCTTTCATGATATCTCTTTTGACTACTCACTCCAGTTAATAGTCCTTTGCATTAGTTCGCCAAAGTATTATTCATATTAACCTTACTTATACTAAAATACCAAATAGAACTGAACGAAAAAGTCAAAGCAAGTGTCAAGATTGGTCACTCTGAATGAGCCCTGAGACGTTTATATAAATGCATGTCACATTATATATATTTCTTATTATTCTAAGTAGACAATGCATTTCATATTGCATTGCATGTCAGTTCATCTGTATATAGCCTTGGGTTAAAATAACACTTTCTAGTTTTACTGAGAAGAGGAAGGTGGAGGGGGTTCTATTTCACAGATAGTTTTCAGTGGTGTATCGGACACCTCTTGCACTCTACCTCACATTCCTTGCAGCCCACTTTTTACTTTGGCCACTGCTGCAGCAACTGGATCCCTACAGCTCTAACAGGTCCACATCTCCTTCAGCTGTTCCAATAACTCTGGCTTTGTGCTTCTGTGCTTTTCTGATCCAGCAGAATGGGATGCCTCTGGGAGCTCACCCTACGCTCACACAGGCACAAAGTGCTGCTGCAAAGGAGATGGGAAGGATCTTCTTTGCACTAATAATGGGAGATAGGAATTGCTGCTTAAAACTCCCTTTTCAGTCCCTCGCACAGACCGTTTGAAGTAGCTTCTCTGTATGTCCTTAGAAGATCCTGGCAAGATTGGGCACCATTGCCCAGAGGCAACTTTTGAAAATCCATCCTTATGTTGGCTTTTCTTCTTTAATTATTCCCAGTAGTTCACTTTTTTTATTTTTTGAGATAACTTTCCAAAATAAACTTGATTATACATAAGCTTGTCTCAGATTCTGCTCTCTTAGAGGAAGCTAGACTAAGACAGCTGCATCCTGAGAGTGGGGCAAATAAGTGGGTAGCTCTCCCTCAAAATGTTGGCTGGACAAGCTTTCTTTTGCTCTGAGTATCTACCTGTTTCATAAATATTGTCAGATGCTCCCACCAACATGCCAAAATTTAAAAGTACAATTGTGACTTCCAAAGTCTGGCTTTTAGTAATCCTAAACCCGTTGCTAAGGAAGGTGTGTGATGAGGGATGGTAGAGACAGCTGCTCAGATAAAGGCAGGAACAGCTTGTTGATGCAGTGCATTGAGCAACTTACTGAATCTTTGGTTCCTTCTCAGTTTCATTTTATATATATATATATACACACACACACACATATATATATCTCCTTGATATTACTTTATTTTGCTTTTCGCATAACATTTTGTGGAAAGACAAAAATAAAACCACAAACAGTTATAAAGACATCTGTGGAGAAGAGCGTGCTCCATCTGCTCTGACTAAAACGATCAAGGGCACAGACTGCCTTGTAAGGTACGCATCTTGCTTGAAGAAAACCATGTTTGCTGGAAAGCAAGCCCTTTGCATTCTCATTGCCCCAACATTTCGTGTGAAAAATATCTGCTAGACACAGAAACTGTAAGCACAAGCTGTAGACACGAACACGCCCTCCAGCTTAAGGCCTGACATGGATTGACTAGATTGCCAATGGACAAGTCAGAGCACTAAGCTGGTGGTAACTCTTCACTGGTCTTTGGTGCAGCTAGAATTTTCTGTCGCTCACCTTGGAAAGTAGCTCGTGATCTAGAAGAAAATCAATTAGTCAAGAATGAACAAACACAAATTCACCAAAAACCATGGTATAGGGTTTATAGAAGTAGCCAACGACATGACAAGACTTATTGCCCTAACTGTACCCTGACATCACGGGACTCCCCTGAGAGAAGGTTTCTTGTTCTTGGTCTTTGAGCACTGGGTCCTGCCATCCACTGTGGAGTAGGTCATCCTTCTTGTCTTTGGGCAGGATACACTGATTCCCACTGTTCGTTGATATCTGCTCTATGTCTCTCCTAGAGCCTCTAGGCAAGGCCTCAACACTCAACCCTAAACCCACAGACATCACTCAGTCTGTTGGTGCTCTTTGAATCTCCACAACACTTTTGAACACTTTCAACTCTGGGTTGTTTTCCCCACAGCATCCTGAGTATGCCATTATCCCATCCGCATCAATATCACACTTAGTCATTAATAACCTACCTCTTATTTGCCCACTTTTTTGAGGGAACACCTGCAGATTTCTGGGATTCTGTCCTGGGAAATACACACAGAATCCTTCTTTTTTCATTCAAGCCATCCTTGTTCTTATAAAAAAAAGTGCTTTGGCTTTCAGAAAACAGCTTCTGCTACGCACTAAGAGTCATAATCGAATTTTCTTCTAGACTGAGACACTTTTCTGTGAGGCAATAATAGTCATGGTGAAGTTCTAATGTTAGACATTTTATAGAGGAAAAGAATTACGAAATACAAACAATCTTTCAGACTATTCTGACGCAAGTGAAACATGTTCATGCTGAGAATATATCAAGGCTCAAGATAAGCACAGTTTCTCACAGGGACTTACATTTATATCATGTGTGACTTCTTCTTCCCAGAGGAAGGAAAGCTCCTTCCATTGTACATTGAAAATTAATAAGAGAAAATTCATATTATACAACTGGTGGGATGTTGAACATATGACACAGGATTAAAGGTGAGTTTGTGTATAATGGGAGAATAAAATTAAAGCTATTTTTTGGTTTTATAAGTTCTTATCCTTGACTGAAAAGTACTTGCTTTAAAAATGTATGCTATACATGAATATATTTATGTATATATGTGTGTATGCCAATAATTATCCAGTAGTAGAATGAAAGATTCAATGTATTTACTTCTTGATCTTTGTGTCCACACTTTTGATATCTGGGACCACTTCAAGGACAACAGAACAATGAATAACGTGAACAGCAATGACCTCAAATAGTTTTTTTCTAAAAATATCAACCAGTAACAATGACCCTTGTTTGATGATACGACTCCAGGAAGTATGTCAGTATTTCTTCCTGCTGTTACTAAAAGCTTGGGCTACTTGAAATCTTGAGAGATTTATCTCTGCATGTGCTATAGTTCCCAATTTCTCAATGCAGTTACTATGTAATAATAGAAAACTCAACAGGTCAGGAACTGGGTACATAAATTATAATACAATAGTCAATGTAATATTATGCAACTGTTGTGAAAATAAATCTGAGTTATACCTGTAAGTCAGCCAGGAAAAGATATTCAACATTGAATAAAGACAGGATTAGTAAAGAGAGTGGTCATACATGAGACACCTTGTAAATTTGATATTCAGATATCAGTGGTAAAAGTTTCATAAATCTTTACCCATTTTTGATATGTGAAAAATGCTAAAATTTCAATAGAATCCTAGAAGCTGGTATCTTTACATTGTCCCCTTTTAGATTATCATCTATTGCCTTAGATGGGCAATTTATTATTACTACTACTGTTATTTATTTATTTATTTATTTATTCTTTTGAGGAAGATTAACCCTGAGCTAACATCTGCCACCAATCCCCTGCTTTTTGCTGAGGAAGATTGGCCCTGAGCTAACATCTGTGATCATCTTCCTCTACTTTATATATGGGACACCTACCATAGCATAGCTTGATAAGTGGTGTGTACGCCTGTGCTGGGATCCGTACCCATGCACACTGGGACTCCAAAGAAGAGCACGTGAACTTAACTGCTACACCACCAGGCTGGCCCTATTATTGTTATTATTGTCTTGAATTCTTTGCTTTGTTACCTTCTTGAAGGAACATGGTATCACGTGAACTACCATTTTGTTTCAATCACCAATGATTAAACTGGATTTGTGGAAAAAAGTAAAATCACGTCCAGAAGCATTTTACTATATATCTATAGCAATTTCCCATGTGACAACATGAGTGTCCTCATCTAATCACAACTGTGGCTAACCCAGTCCATTTGCTGTTTTACTGACACTTAACCATTGGTTTTCTCATAAACAAAGTCTAGATAATTCCAGTCCTTTCTATTTGAGCAACTTAAAAACTGAGTACAAGGTGATCAAGAGGAAAATATCTTCTCTGAGACGGAAGTTGAGGTCTAAGAACAAAACCATTGAATTAAAGTTCCCCACAGGCTTACGGAGGATAAAGGCAGTTTTGATAAGACCCCTTATTCTGCTGCAGAGTAGCTTTCAGCACAATGATTCTACTGTTGTCTCTCAAGGGAATGAGTAAGAGAGAATGACAAGGAAAACAAGCAACTATGTACCCACACATACAATCAGATATTTTTTCCTGGCAAACTCTGAGTTATACCTTCTGGAAGCTTTTCTCAAGGGTATGACTAATAGTTGCAAAGAGAAAACTCTCCTTTGACAATAACTACTCAAGAAGTACATATATAAAGGAAACTCTGGAAGCGTTGCATGATTTCATTACTGTAGGAGGCACCCCGCCTTGCCCGGATATGAAGATCCAGGAGGAATCAAGTAAGATTTTTAAAAAATTTTCTTTAACATTTACATCTGTCAAAATAGATTTTTAAAATATATTTTAATTTTGACTTTCTTTTGAAAAGGAAAAGAGAGCCAAGTAAATATTTGACTCAAAAGAAGGAGGTCTGGTTGTTTTAAAGGCTTGACCTGGATTACCTAACCTCAAGCTTTTTGAATTTCTCAGTTTGCGGTGTTTACTGAATGTCTAAATCAAAAATATCAGTCTCTCAGGGTGCCTACACCACGTAATCAAACGTTACCATTTTCGCAAATGGACCTAAACCAACTGTGATGCTGGGTATCACATGAGCTCTCATCTACGCAAGACTTCAGCAAATCTCAGCAGGTCCTACTGCTTTCCAGTTTGTGCCAGATCCCCTGCAGATTAATTGGTAAACTATAAGAAGTCTATTTTGAATCCTCACTAACACTGAGGGTGAATGCAGTCTACAAAAACAGCTCCCTGCCTTCTTCAGTTTCGGCAAGGAACGCGTAGGGTAGGGTGATAGTAAAGAGTAACTCCTTCACAAAAGTATAAAATACTTATGAAACATCCACTGAAGGAAGTTTGATTTAACTATAAGAAGTTCAAGAGCTGTGTGCAACAGTAATTACAACAATCACACTTCAAATATTGCCCACTATGAATTAAATGACACTTGTTTGATTTCTTAGATGCGTGTGTGCCTGACCGTCCCTTAGAAGATTTACACATACTCAAAATTCTTCTTTTTTTGCTTTCTTTACAACCTTCTCATATTGAAGTTACCTCTTTAGAAATTGTGTTTGCAAATCACCTTTAGTTCCTGGAAATGTAATAAAAATACGTGGTAATTTTAGTCCTAGCAATAATAGATATTTCAGATTAAAGAACTCATTATCAGAAATTGCACTTTCTTATTTCTTTCTATTCAGCTTATTCAAATGATCCACAAAACTGATTTCACAATATCTTGATAAAATGTAATGGTTATTAATAGGGAATTTAAGCATTTGCAAATTTATTCATTTTCATGGAAGAGATTGATACAGAGCACATTTGGCAAAACTTATGATGAAAACATCCCATCTATAGTCTATAATCATCCCACCTGTAATTCATTATGATGAAAATCATCCCATCCAATGAATATTGGAATATAGCTTTGGTTTAGCTTTTTATTTTCCTGGATTTTTCACAAACAAAATAAAAAGGGCACATTCTTGAAGAAAGTAGAAAGTAGTAACAAGAGCTTTCTAAGTAATGATTTGTGTGAAATGGCCTATTTTGATAGCGAGAATGTTTAGGACATAGTGTTAGTTCTTAAAAGCTAACTAACTAAAACCTGGTAAGAATTCCTGAAAAACAACATCAAAATTCAATTATAATTCTTGAATGTTTTTTCATTTATTTGTTTGTTTTTGCATTTTTACCTCATCCTGAACATGATAGTAGTTATCCGTGCTTTATGTATCATAATATTATAATGCTAGAAGGGTAAATTCGTAAGACCAATATCTGGATTAGTCAATTACCTTTCATAATTCACAGATTACAATCTTAAATGCATCATTTCACAACAGCCATTAGTATTTGGCTTATTTGTTCTAAATCAATAAATGATGAATGGATTAATGCATAAATCCGTCTTTGACAAAAAAAATTAAAGAATTTGTGGACAAGAATAATCTATTACTACTGCTAGTAAAACACTGTGCCCAAATATCATTTTGGTTTGATGAAGGACAAGCAAATTCTAACTTTGTTTGTTATTCCTATGTATACCATTTTAGAATTACATAATTTAACTTGGTTTTAAAAAAGCAAAGCTAATTGAAAAAAAGAATGAGTTTTTATTAATTGATTTACAGTCTTTCAAATATTTAAGACTTGGCATTGGTTTTGTCATCAAAGAGCACCATAGCTAAACATGGTCTACCCGATGGACAGGAGAGGATTTTGCTGAAGATGTAACTTGGGTTCAGTTATTCCAAATATTTTTCCTTCCTATTACAAGGAATTCTTCCTTAACTTGGGTGGTTATAAAAATGTCAGAAGTGTTAGATAGTAAATGCTAATCACACGCATTGGAGTGAACTATGTGTGGTTTCTTGAATTAAGGATATACACTCATCAAAAATAGATAATATACTGTTTAAGTAAAGGGTTGTTGTTGCATTAACTCTAAACCCACTCTCACTAGGGAGATTTCAAAATAATGATGGGGGGAGATTTTTCAGTTCTGACAGGACTATTCTTTTCACCTCTTTTACCACTAACTTTGGACATGATCCGGAACACTTGTTGGTATGCCCTGACGCGATCACTTCATTGATATACTGGTTGCAACTCAATAAAATTGCTCAAAAAATCCAAATCTCATGTTTTTTCCTTATCAGCTCTACTTTTTGTTGTTGTTGTTACCGTCCTTTTTGCTCCTATCAAAATTCATGCAAGTGCTAGGACCTCAAACAGCAGAGTGTTCCTTACATACTTAAGGAATGTTTGTCATTCATACGATGCTACAAAGTGTGTTTAGTACTTTTGTAGGGAGATATCTGATAAAATTCCTAGGTCTTATATCATGATCTTTGGGTGGTATGGTATTTGGAAAAGTTCTTTGCAATCATCCATTTGAATGTAAACTATATAAAAATAGCTGTATTTGCCCATTTTGGTTCCTGGTGTGGATGAGGACACAGAAGAATGACTGGCATGTGGTGGGCACAAAATAAATACTTTTGAATGAATGAATATAGAGGTCATTTATTCTATGTTTCTAAACTTAATTTAGCTGTAAATATATCCTCCCATCTGCTCTGCTGCCAAAAAAATTACATTTAAAACTTTTTGGCTTATTTACTCAATGCCATCTCGTTGTTAAAGTCTATTATCTCACAATGTGTGGATTGTTTACTTTATAATGCGGATCACCCCTCACTCAATCCTTAACATTTGCTGTGTGTTCTCTAAATCCTCCAAACTGTATTTAACTTTGTGGAGTATATATATATATATATATACAAACAAATAAAGCTTAGTTAGATATCATCTCTGAATGGACTTCTAATTGGATAGGTAAAACTCCACATTAAACCATTAAAATCAACGTTTTAGTAAATTAGATGTAGTAGCATTTTAGTAAAAAGACAGATTTGCGGGCTGGTGAAGATGCAGACATTTTCAGAGAGCAGAGCTTAGAGCTGGAGAAGATGATGAGAAAGAGCAACCACTGAGAGAGTGGCTGTGTGCAAGACCTCAGGAATGCCACCTTCGAAGCAGACTTTACAGCTCTGGTCTCCAATATTGGTAACTGTATATTTTCTTCCTATTTTTAAGGATTTTGTGCCCAAATTATGAAATGTCTGTTAACTCCATTCTCTAAATGCATTCCTTAGTAACATGGCAAATGTGAAAGAACATTTTGCTGAGGTTATTTTATTAACACCTCCCTTTGAAAAGTGCAACAGGGATCCCCACCTTAGTCAGATTAATTAAATTTTCTTTACTGAATATTATTATATTGAGTGTAACATATTATTTGTTCATATTATATACCATAGAGGTATTGAAAAATGAAAACTTTATAGAAACATAAGTATTACTGCAATTATTATTTAATTAATGTGTGTTTTAAAATAAAAAATAATGGCATATCTGGTTTGGTCATAACGACGGACACAGAAGTTCCATTTAAGCCGTGATATATGAGGGGTAACAAAGAAGAAATGAAATCAAATGACAACCCAGACAGAACTGACCAGATGCTGAACGCAGATGGAGAACTTAAACTGAAGTATTGAAAGAGCAGGTTTATAATGCTGCAGCTGGCGATTAAAATATCTCAGCATCTAATCAGGCAACAACATCTGGCCCACGGCTATTCAGAGGTTTTCAAACAGTAAGAACCCCGCAATATAATTTAATAATGAAAACTGAATTTGTGAAACTGGACAATGAGCAGAAACTCAGAAGACCCTGCCACAGTATCTCCCAACTCTTCAAAACAAGAAAAAGAAAATACTAAAACTTGCCTTTTGGTAATTAAACCCCATATATTGTGGAGCTGAAGTTGGATGAAAGTTTAATCAAACTCAGTGGGTGCCACTAAAAAGGCAATAAACACTCGATTGCATAAATAACAACAAACTTCTGAGTTCCCCTCTAATTGTCTAAGGACAAAATACAGACAAGTGGCACTTGTGTATCTGGCAATAAATTACAGCAGTAAAAAGTATTCATATTTAATTTTAAAGAGTTATGGTGGCCGTAATTTCTCCTAACTCCATGTTCATTTGTAATTTCTTTATTGTCTATTAATTTGAATAAGAAACATAAAGAAACAAAGGAGTTAATGACTCAGTAACGTTTAACATGAGGGAGATCAACATGCAAAAACACTTTTATTCTGGAAAATCAAAATTAATTATCTCATAAGTAATATATCCTTAAGAGAAAATAACATCCTACAAATTATATTACATCTCTCCTTAAATCTTGCTACAGTTCCCAGTTGATTCAAAGCTTATATGCAAAGACTTAAGTGTTATGTAAAAACCCTTTCTCTCTCTGGTCCCAGCCTAACATTCTAACTCATTGACCTACACACGATTGGTATACAATTACACAGGATTGGCAATTTGGGCATGCATTAAATTAGTCATCGTTGTACAAGAATAACATCATCTCCCACTTCCTCATACTGTTGTTCATAATGTCTATGCCTTTCCCATCTCTATCTGCCTTAGGATCTCCTCTAGTCTTCATGGCAGAAGCTTAAACGTATTTGTTGAGAAAATCTCAGGTGGGGTTAATGACTACTTACTTTGTCTCCATTCTGTCACTTATCACAGGTCATTGACTGCATTTATTTAAATACACATTAATGCCTACAGAGTGCTAGAACCCGAGTAACATGTAATTTTCCTTTTGAAGTATTGTGTTTCAAAAATCTAGTCCAGGGCCTGATATATACTATGTTTATAATGAATAGACAACTTAAATAATTAATTTTATTATAAGGTCAACTTACATATAAGAATATATTAGAGGCATTTCTGGCCAACTAAACTGCTTTCTTTACTTGGCATGAAAACAAGTTTTAGAGTAAATGTATTAAATAAACTTTGTTTTGTTTACCTATTAATACATCTAAGATAACCATTATCTGATCACATAGAAAATTAATTTCTAAAAAATAATAGTAGTGGGGGCTGGCCAGGTGGTGCAGTGGTTAAGTTCACGTACTCCACTTTGGCAGCCCGGGGTTCGTAGGTTTGGATCCCGGGCACAGACCTATGGCCTGCTTGTCAAGCTATGCTATGGCAGGCATCCCACATGTAAAGTAGAGGCAGATGGGCATGGATGTTAGCTCCAGACCAGTCTTCTTCAACAAAGAGAGGAGGATTGGCAGCATATGTTAGCTCAGGGCTAATCTTCCTCAAAAAAGTAAAAATAAAAATAAATAATAGTAGTGGAAGTTTACAATTATCTTACTTCTCAAAATTTCTTTTTAAATATTAGACTAAAACCTGTTTTCTTCAGAAAGCCTCTTCTGGGGGTGGAGGGGCTGGATTTCTTGCATATAATTGAACGAAATATAGCCAAGGATATAGTAAATTGCTCACATGGGAAAGTGATAATCATCGTTTCCTCCATTGAAAGCTCTCTCCCTTCTGCTTTGGTGATGGACTCATTTCATAGTGAGCTCTATATCGCTGTCAGGTGAAGAAAAAGAAACACATCACTGACTTCCAAACACGACACTGATGAATGTTACTATAACGTCTCTGACACTGACAGGGACTTTCAAGTTTTTTTCCCAACAAACCATTAGTCCTATGTCTACATGAATCTAAATAACATTGAAATATTTCCAGAGCACTGCTAGATAGTTGCCATTTTGCCATGATCCATATATGTATTCTTTTGACTTCTGTGCCTCAGAAAATAACAAAAGAAGGTCACGGTATATAGGTATGGATGATAGAAATGAAAACTGACAATGAAATGGCAAATTGTAATCTGTACATGGATAAACCATGGAGAAAAAATAACATCAGAAAAGCTGTAATATCAGTGGTAAATTTCTCTGCTTGTTTAGATCGTTTATGTCCAAGAAACTTGAGAATTTGAGTCTCTAAGATTCTCTTGTGCTTCCAAGAGAAGATGCCTGCTATATAAAAGTAATGTTTAATTTTGACTGAAGGATACAAAACTTGACTAGTCAACACATACTCCACTGGATATCTCATTTTCCTGGAAAAATTAAAAATTTAAAATATCCCAAGTAAAGGAAGGTTGCTATGTTCCCCTTATATGACTACTGGTGTGACACTAAGTTTTAAAGAATGGTTCTAGAACTGTCTGAACATCAACTTTCTTTTCTAATGTCATTCTTTGTACCCATCTCCCCCCACAACCCAAAATGTATATAGTGATGCTCAAATGGTCTTCCTAGCTACAGCTAAAGATGCTCAGTGTGGAAAAGTGAATCAGGCAGAGCGAATATGTTCCTCCACAGAAAGCATCAAAACAGTTCCTTTAATGGGAATAGATCCAGATCTAAATCACACAGTGCTTTGTGTCCAAAAAGTGTCTACAACGTGGAGAAGACACGGCCCACGGTGAGGGAGACTGAGAAGCAGAAATTGGAAAAAACAGAGAGACGGCTCACAGTTCAAGTGTTCCTGATGCCTAGGAGAACTTGCGTCCCTATTTGAAGCTGAGTTCAATTCCTTTTTAGATTTCATGAATCAATTAATTCTCCTCATAAGCTAGATGTGTTTGAGTGAAACACTCACATGCAAGGTAACACAGAAACAGATTCCTGTTACTGATATTTGCTCTCTGCCAAGAAGGAGAAATAGAGAACAGATTTACTGTCTCATTTTAAACAAGAAAAAAAAAAAAGAAAAGGGATAAATTTATGAAACAAAAATGCTCAAGACGTTAGATATCAGGCTAATCCCTAGATATGGAAAAAAATGAAGTGATAATATTGCCTCTAGAATACTGCCGAGAGAGAGTTTCTAGGCCAAGGCACAAGGGGAGGGAACCAAGGCAAAGCCAGGCAGACCCTCTGAACTGAAAGGACAAATCAGAGGCTGAGAGCCTCGCGCACCTAGAGTTTAGAGGGCGGAATACTGGAGGCAACTCGCAATCTACAGACTTTTCATCTTGTTTACTCAGCTGAGTACTGATCAATAAACAAATAATGTAAGGAACCTGGAAGAGGCCTAGGAAATAGCACCTGAAAGGAATTAGAGGTAAAAATCCTGACAGCTCACACAGGGGAAGGGATCGGTGTCTATTCCCACAAGCCAGAGAGGAAAAGCCCATCTGGAAGAGTACTCTATAGTGGAAAATATTAACATCCAGTCTAAATGCCATTACAATCCCACTTAACAAATTTAAAAATCAAGATACCAAAAGATCAACTTGTTTCCAAGTAACTTATCCTCATCACAGGATAAACTTCAAGAATATTAATAGTAATTTGAAAATATCTAGCAGTCAATAAGGCAAACTTCACAATGGCTGTTATTTGAAACAAATAAAACATGACATAAACAGTAATGCAAAGAAGCATGAAAAAATAAATAAGAATAAGTAGAAAATATAAATCAGTTGAAACTGATACAAAAGAAAAAAGAGAAAAGACGTAAATTACTAGTATCAGAAACGAAAGAGGAGCCATCACTACTGATGCTGTGGACATTAAAAGGCTAAAAAAGGAATATTATGAACATCTATATGCCCACAAATTTAATAACAAATGAAATGGATAAATATCTTTAAAGACCCAGCCATTAAAACTCAAGGCGGAGTAGATAAACTACATAAGCCTATATGGATTAAAGAAATTGATTCAATAATTAATAAGCTTTCAAAACAGAAAATGTAAGACCCAGATGAGCTCATTGGCAAAGGTTAACAAACATTTAAGGAAGAAATTAGTCCAGTCCTCTACAATCTCTTCCAGAAAATAGAGACAGAGGAAATACTTCCTAACTCATTCTATGAGCCAGCATTACCCTAAAACCAAAACCAGTCAGAGACATTACAAGAAAGGAAAACTACAGACCAATATCACTCATGAACATAGATGCAAAAGTTCTTAACAAAATAATAGCAAATCGAATCCAATGATGAATAAAAAATTTGTAAGCCACAACCAAGTGGGATTTATTCCGGGTATGCAAGATTGGTTCAACATTTAAAAATTAACTACTGTAATCCATCCTATCAACAGGCAAAAGAAGAAAAATTACATGATCATACCATAGATGCAAAAGAAGCGTCGACAAAGTCCAACATCCATTCATAATAAAAACTCTCAGCAAGTTGGGACTAGAGGAGAAGTTCCTCAACTTGACAAAGAACATCTATAAAACACAGACAACTGGTGTCATATGCAATGTGAGAAACTAGATGCTTTCCCTACAAGATCAGGAAAAAAACAAGGATGCATACTTTCACACATAATATTTAGCATTGCACTAGAAGTCTTAGATAATGAAATAAGACAATAAAAAGAAATAAGAGGTAGACAGATTGGGAAGGAAGAAATAAAAAGATCTTTTTCACAGATGACACTATTGTCTACATAGAAAATCACATAGAATCAAGAAGAAAATTCCTGGAACTAATAAACAATTATAGCAAGGTTGCAAGATATGAGATTAACATACAAAAGTCAATTGCTTTTTTATATACAAGCAACAAAAAATTGGTGTTTGAAATTAAAAACAATATCATTTACATTAGTACCAAAAAATTAAATAATTTGGTATAAATCTAAGAAAATATGTGTAAGAAATATATCAGGAAAATTATAAAACTGTGGTATAGGAAATCAAAGATGATCTAAACAAATGGAGAGATAATCTAAGTTTGTGCATAGAAGGACACATTATTGTCAAGATGTCAGTTCTTCCCTACCTGATATACAGATTCAACACAATACTAATCAATCCAAGCAACTTATTTTATGAATGTCAACAAATTGATTGTAAAGTTTTTAAGGAGAGACAAAAGATCCAACATGGCAAACACGAGATTGAAGGAGAAGAACAAAGTCAGAGAACTGACTCTACCTGACTTCAAGACTTATGATAAAGCTACTGTAATCAAGGCAGTGTGGCACTGGCAAGAAGATAGACAATAGATCAGTGGGAATAGAATAGAGAACACAGCAAGAGACCCACAGATGTGTATATCTGTTGGTTATCTACAAAAGTGCCAAAGCAATTCAGTGGAGAATGGCTTGTCAACAAATAGTTCTGAAACAATTGGATATCCATATGACCTCACATCATGTGGAAAAAATAACTAAAAATGGATTATAAATTAAATGTCAACCTAAAACTATGAAACTTCTGTAAGAAAACATGGAAGAAATATTTATGATCTTGAGTTATGCAAAGATTTCTTAGATTAAGGCATCAAAACGATGTATAAAAGGAAAAAGATGGTATATTGGACTTCTTGAAATTAGAAATCTTTGGTCATTGTAATACAGTATTAAGAGAATAAAAAGACAAGCCTCGAATGGGAGAAAATGTTTTCAATTACATATCTGATAACACAGTGTTATCCAGAATAATAAAGAACTCTCAAAACTCAGTTAAAAGAAAGCAAAAGCTCAGTTGAAATGGTCAAACTATCTGAACAGGTACTGCACAGAAGAAGATACACAAATGGAAAATAAGCACATAAAATGAAGCCCAACACTGTTAGTCACAGAGAAATGCAATTATGCCATTTGTTCAAATTATCAAATAAATCAAATAAGTAATAATCAGATAAATATGATGGCTCACCTACTATGTGCTAAGAATTACGTTACTTACAGAGGACTAGATGTGAGAGAGGTAAGAAGCTGCCCTCATGCCTACAGGTGAATGGGAGCATTGACACAAATTCAAATAGTGTAATAAGTCAAAGAAAATGGAATGTTCAAAATGCGCATAATGATGTACACAGGTGAACAAATGAACAGGCAAACAAACAAAAAAGAGTCATGGAGAGCCTAATTGAATTTGGGAGGATGTAGAAGGCATGCCAAGGAAGTAACTTTATGCCGAGAACCGAAAGACAGTAACGATGTAAGCAAATGAGTTATGTGTGATTTGCAGTGGATGAGATGAAGGTTTAAAATTATGGAGATAACTTCTTAGAAGAAAGTGCAAGATGTTCAAAGACTCCACGTTATTATCTTATATTCTCTTATCTTTATATTCTTAAATAGGCTATCTATAAGAAGGTCTTAATTTGGGGGGAACATAGCATTCAATATATTATTTTTAATAAGCCAAGAAGAAAATCTTTGCTAGAATTTTAACAGTATGTGTTACTTTCTTCAAATACGATAAAACATCTAACAATTCCCCTATATTTCTTGTTCCTTTGCTGCCCAGAACTAGTGATGTGTGCATATCCATCTATCCTTGTCTGTATCTACCCCATGCCTATGCCTGTATCTGTCTATCATCTCTCGCTCTCTCTCTCTCCTTACATAAGAAAAATCCTAACTTCTTAATTGGTTTAACTTCAACTGCATCTTATTTTTGCACTTTTATGATGCGTTGTATGCGGTAACTTGTACAAATGACAAAGCATACAGTTGACAGCACACAGGTTATTTCAAGCCAGTCTAAGAATGGTCCCAAAGAACCTTCCTTGTTCTTTCCTCCCAGACTTCCATTTTCTTTTC